CCGAATGAGCGTGCCATCCTACTACCTATCTGTTTATAGCAGTGGCTATGCAGGCGAGAGGCCCGTTCAGGAAGAACAGACATGATGAAAAGACCCCTGAGGATTTTAGACCGGCCATGGACAGTGAGGGTACAATGCGTTGAACAGTGCGAGTCGAATCGGAGATGAAGTTTCAGTGCTTACAGCATGAGAATTGAGAAGCTTAGTTGCTCGCAGTCAACTGCTCGTGGATGTCGGTTTGCTGGAAGACAATGCGGCGGGCACAAGCGCATTCGCTGACGTAATCGCTCTCCGAATTCGCCAGCAACCTTAACAGGTTCACAGGCTGTAGGGCGCATACACTAGAGAGTACGCCAGATGCATGACGATGGGCATCAAAGTGTTATGGCTCGTGAAAGACACGAGGAACTTTGTGACCGCAAGAAGATGCCGTAATTGAGCAGCTGGCACTTTGAGATCGCGTGTCCGCACGTGTCGACGCGTTTGTCTTGGCGCGCGTGAAGCCGCTCGGTCGCCACTGGTTCACTCGCACATTGCACAGCACACGAGCACCATAACACTACTCAGCCATGCGCAATTGCTTCTTCAATGTTTAGGAATCCTCGAGAAAACCGCTCTTTGCCCGAATCGTCCCGATTAACACCCTCAACCGGGCGGGCTCCATCGCCACCCCGCTCATCGTCTCGAGTAGCAGACATGGCTGCCAAAACCGCAACGAAGAAGGCTGCGCCCAAGCCGAGCACGAAAGCGCCCCCACCGAAGAAAACCAGCGTTCAGACCACTTTGACGCCAGCCGACTTTGCTAAGAAGTCGCCTGCTGGCAATGGCAAGAAGCAGAAGCCGGCTGGCACACCGAACGGCAACATCATGGCATTCTTCAAGAAAGCCGAGGAGATCAACAGCCGTATATTCCTACAAGAACGAGGGTCAAATCCAACGATAGTGCTCGATGGCGACGAGGACGACGTGGGCTGGAGCGACGAGAAGAGCAATGGCGTCATGACTACAGACAACAGCGATGAGCGGTACAACGAGAATGGTGGGAGCAACAAGAGGCGCAAAGTCAGCGAAGAGGCGGTAGCGCCTGTGCCGGCCTGTTCACCACCCCCGCCGGCTGATGTTGAGAGCAATGCTCTGGATGCATTGGCAGCCGACGTTTCTAAGCAAGCGCCTAAACTGCGGAAGAAGTCCGGACCCTTCGTGGACGACTCAGACTCCGAAGACGACGAAGTTGAAATGCCTGCTACAACTCCAGGTATGACCATACGAAGCCATAATGAGGAATCGCCAATGACTAAACCAACGGAGGACCTGTCACCCCCGGATAGTGCCGAACACTCCAAATCCCACGAAACCACACCCATAAAGTCCGAATCGACATCGCAACACGGGGCCGAAGACTCGGAGGAATACGAAGATCTGGAAGACGATGATCTGCTCGAAGGCGAAGAATACGATGAAAGGCGATGGATGAAGGAACAACAGAAGCTCGAGATGGAAGAGGCAGGCTTTGAGGGCGACCCGGACGATTTCGACGCGCCACCTCTATTCCCTGAAGGCGATGATACCGAAGTCAAACACGAAGAGCCACGTACCAATGATATACCTTCCTGTCCGATATGCGGCAACAATCTTCCAGGCCTGTCAGAACAAGACGTATCCGTACACGTCAACGCGTGCCTAGATGGCAACCCACTCCCCTTACCTGTAGTGAAGTCCGAGGATGACAGCAAGGCGACCGTGACGAGCAAAGCGAAGGTTTTCAAAAAGCCAGACAGGCCAGCTAAACCTGGCCAAGCCAATCCGTTCCAGCTTGCGAAGCCCAGCGCCCAGCCAAGTTCAGCCTTTTCGAAGCTTATGGCCGGCCATGCTGAAGATGCTGCGTGGGCATCTGCTGCAGCCGAGAACAACAAGTCTCGCGGCAAGCCTGCATACCAACGCACCTGCCCATTCTACAAAATCATGCCAGGCTTGTTTATCGCTGTAGATGCGTTTCGATATGGAGCCGTCAAAGGTCAGAATGCCTACTTCCTGAGTCATTTCCATAGCGATCATTACATCGGGCTTACTTCCTCATGGAAGCATGGACCGATATACTGTAGCAAAGTCACTGGCAACTTGGTACGACAACAGCTTCGTGTGGACCCCAAGTGGGTGGTCGATCTGGATTTTGAGAAAAAGACAGAAGTACCAGGAACGGAAGGCGTCCACGTCACAATGATCTCTGCGAATCATTGCCCTGGCAGCTCTCTGTTCCTGTTCGAAAAGGAACTTAGCAAGGGCAAGAACCCGAAGTTACAAAGAGTGCTACACTGCGGAGACTTCCGTGCGTGTCAAGCGCACATCGAACACCCGCTATTACGCCCAGACGTCCTCGATGCTGTGAGTGGAAAGAATCGGCAACAAAAGCTAGACGCTTGCTACCTTGACACCACCTACCTGAACCCCAAATACGCTTTTCCGCCTCAGAAGCAGGTCATCCAAGCTTGCGCGGACATGTGCGTAAGTCTCAGCAAAGTCCGCGCGGACGACTCCGATGGATGGGAGCAGATGAAGCGAGACCGCGCAGGCCAAGGTATGGTCAAGTTCGTTCGGAAAGACTCTAATACCGACGCTACCGGCGAGCCCAAAAGCCCTGCACGAGGCCGACTTCTGGTTGTGGTGGGCACATACAGCATCGGGAAGGAGCGTATCTGCACTGGGATTGCGAAGGCGCTGGGAAGCAAGATCTTCGCCCCTGCCAACAAACAGCGCATATGCAAAGCTCTCGAGGACCCCGAACTGGATGCACTACTCACGACAGATCCCCGGGCAGCCCAAGTGCATATGACACCGCTGTTTGAAATCCGAGCGGAGACATTGGACGACTACCTACGCGATTATGCCGACACGTTTACGCGCGTTGTCGGCTTTAGACCCTCAGGCTGGAACTATCGTCCACCAAAGGGTCGCTTTACCGAGTCACCCCAAGTACAAACCGTCTTGCATTCCGACAATTGGAGAAGTACCTTCTCTATGAAAGAACTGACGCCGCAAGCCGGGAGTGGAAGTCGGGCAAGCTGCTTCGGTGTGCCGTACAGTGAGCATAGCAGCTTCAGAGAGCTGACCATGTTTTGCTGCGCTTTGCGCATCGACAAGATCATCCCGACGGTCAATGTAGGCAGCGCAAAGAGTAGAGAGAAGATGAAGGCCTGGTGCGACCGATGGGCGGCGGACAAGAAAAAGAACGGGCTGTTCAAACTGGGTGAAGACGGAGAGGGTTGGTCATAGTGAGATTTGATTGGCATGCGCATTGCAATAGTGGACCCAAGTCTATGATTTGGTAGCGATTCTACCAACCTTGGCTTCACGCCAATGCCAATGATCTTTCAACATGACTCAGTCTCACTACATATTGATATCAGTCCTCTAATCGACACACTCATCTACGATATCCCCAAGTTCGCTTCCGCCATGTCGTCAATCATCCGCCTCCTCGTCATTTCCGACACTCACTCCGCTTGGCCCTACACCCCAGACTACCCTGCACCTCCATGCGACATCCTCATCCACTGTGGTGATCTCACACAAGTCGGCGGTCTTCCCGCATACAAAAAGGCTATGCAAGACATTCAGACCGTCGACGCAGAGCTCAAGCTCGTCATCGCCGGCAACCATGACCTCGATCTCGATGAAGAGTGGGTGTGCAAGAACGCTGAAGATGGAGAAGAGGAAGAAGATATAGAGGACAGTAGGAAATGTGTCAGTTTCATGAAGTCGCACGAGAAAGAGGGTGTATACTACCTGGAAGAGGGTAGACATGAGTTCAAGCTGAAGGATGGGAGAAGCTTCATTGTCTGGGCGAGTCCGTTTACGCCGGAGTTTAATGGGTATGCGTTTGCGTACGGAAAAGACGAAGATCAATTCACCAACATACCCGAAGACATCGATGTCTTGATGACACATGGACCGCCTTCATTCACCGACGAACTCGGTTACGGTCTCGATGTCAATGTGAAAGGAGAGAGCTGCGGATGCAAAATGCTAGGCGATGCAGTAAAGAGGGTGAAACCAAGACTGCACTGTTTCGGGCACGTACACGAAGGGAGAGGTGCTGTGAAGATACAGTGGTCTGAGATGGGAAATGGGGATGAAAGAGTGAAGATGCTGCCAGATGACGGCAAACCCATTAGCATCAACAAGAAAAATGGAAAGATGAGTCCTGTGCTAGTGAACGCGGCGATATGGGGTGAAACAAAAGGCTGGACTATCGACCTCGACATATAAAATTCCCACTGGCTTCCACCATACCCGAGCAACTCCTGCCACCGCAACCAACACCAAGATGTATCAATCAATGGCCAGCCCCTACTCAGACAGTACCAGCGCACACGAGACTCACGGACCCGCCGACCGCCTCGAGCATCTTGTACACAACCATGGAGTCGACCTTGTTCGCCACTCCCCAATCTTCAAACTCCAAAGGCGATTCGGACTTCCAGGCGCAGCTCTTCTTGTATGCCTTGCACTCATCATTTCGGTCTACGTCGACGTAACATTCGGCTACGGCGTATACACCTACGGCTTCTTGGGCAATAAAGCAGCCGATAATGTCATGGTTCTTCTGTTGATCGTGGTGGTCGCTTTTCTGTGGGTGATGGCTCGAATTTTCTGGGTAACGAAGTCGCAGAGGGAAGTTTCAGGACTAAGGAGGCATTCGTACATGTTGGGTAGGCAGCATGTTGCGAGGGGAAATGAGGGCGCGGATGAAGCGGTGATTGTCGTGGAGAGACAGGATACGGTTTGAGTTCCCCATGTGCTGTGTCAGATGTCACTTATAGCCATGTTATCTTTCAACGACATGGATTTCTGTACAATGGAATTGAGATCTTGATAATTTTGATTAACTACATTTGCATGTGTACCAGGGTATACAAGCCACCTCACCATCTGCGCACCTTTCATGGAGCTACTCTGAGACATGATCGAAGTTCTCAGCAGCTTCGCTCTCCCATTTCCGTTCACTCATCGCGGCCCGACTGTCCTTCAGGATGTTTGAGCCAGTACCGTTCTAGTGCAACTTGGAACGAAGGTGGATGAAATTTGACTGTTTTCGCAAGCTTTTTCGGGAACTCCTCAAGATCTAACGTCTCTGAATCTTCCGATTCGTAACCCGCTTCTTCGCTGTTGATCGACTTCCAGAAGGCCTCCTCCCCGTAACGATGCTCAATCTCAAGTGTCTCGACGTGAAGATTGCGCACGGACTCCAACGCGGAGCGGTATTCGCAATCTGCCGGGCTCTCGAATGAGATGCACCGAGCCTGCTGCCCATAACATTGTAGAAATGAGTGCAAGTTCTCGGCATTCATCCTAGTATTCCTCACAGTCAATTTGTCAAGAGTAGGCGTGTCAGAAGGCGAAGGAAGCGGGATGATCGGCCGAGGATTGATGAATTCGTTATGTTGGCTATGATCGACCACCAACGAGCGAAGGCGAGGAAAGAGACTTGTCGTGATCGACAGTCTGCCCTATCAAGCTGTTAGCACGAATAATAGGATATCTCAGAACCGCGTTGCCAAAGCATAGCATAGGAGATATATACTAGTAACAAGTTAGTAAGATATCTTTAGAGCTATTCGTAGCGGCTACTTTACCCTTCTTTTTATATAATGGTGTTTGGTAGTAGGGGCAATACATGTCTCTTAGAACAAGCGTTTCTACCTTTTGACTGGCTTTCGCGAAGATTACAGAGGGGATGTTGGTGATGAACGCGTGATGTTCATCGAGATCGACGGCCAGAGTCATCGTGCGGACTGTGATCTTCGATGCTACCATGGCTTGAACGAGGATTTGAAGGCCAAGATGAGCTATATTACCAGCATTTCTCATATCCTCTTCTTCGCGGTAGCGTGGGATATTTCGAAACTTCTGGAATAGGTTATGATATCGCCCGGGTCGGGTACGAGGCTGGTGATAGAATTCGATATTTTCGATGTTCTTGAAGCAGAAAAAAACCTGGGCTAAGACCTCTTGAAGGGCCCTCATCCCGGCCTCCTGGATGATGCTCATAGAGGTGGAGGCTCTAGCAAGACGTGGAGGCGATGCGGAAGTAGGAATGCCGCTACCCGTCATTGGAGATCCGTAGCCCTTCTGCTTCCAAATGCGGGGGTACCAAGAGTCTTCAGCCAATTTGATTTGAAGTAGATCTGAGTAAGAGTCTTGGCGTAGTTGATCCCACTCTGCCTGCTCCATCCGCATCGGCATTGCCCCATGATCGAGTGGGTACCCCGGGGGCACTTCAGCGCAGGCTATGATAAGCTTTGTAACCCAAGGAGCCAGATGCTCGCACGTAGACGCTGCGGTAAGGTTGGATATACTTTGACGCGATCTAAGATCGAATATCGTTTCGCCCAGATAAGCACCGAAAGCCTTCCATGAACAATTACGGAAGCGACGGCTCGTGAGGCGAAATGCGAGCGAACACGCTTGCTCCTCTTCCTGGGTGTATCGATAGACAACAGATTCACTGTCTTCGTCTTCGGTAACTGGCGGTACAGCATGCTTCGCAACTTCCAGCAATATGCACTCTAGTAACTCGGCGGGCAGCTTCTCGATGGGCGAAGGATCTGCCAAGGGCAGAGTCACTGAAACCATTGGTATTGTGCTTGTCGTGTTGCTTGTGGGGTTTAAACGGTCGAACTTGGTTTCAAGAATAGAAGGCTGAATGTCAGGGCAGGTGAGAGAAATAAGCGGGTCGACTAGGCATCCGCGCTAGTGAGAACCCACGGAAATGAAAGAACGCGAAGACCCTGAAGTCACAATCGAGATTGCATCATTCTGCACTCCAGGGCTATGTCCGATTGATGAAATATCTTAGTGGATACTTGAAGAAATCGATTACTATTCCAGAGACAGACTTCACGTAGCACTTACCTCAGCTACCGTCGCGCTCACTTCGACAACCGCTACCGCCGGCTCCTTCTCCTTCTTTAGTTTATCTTGTATAGCCTGATAATTCCGGCTCATGGCATTTCTCGTAAACTCCTCACCCGTCACCATTGGATACTTCTTCAGTGGGCCCTGGATCTTGGCGTCTTTGCATGGCTGATTGAAGAAGGCGATGCTGTAGCGCTCGCCGTAGAAGTCATCAGGCTCACATGGAGCCTTGACACGATGAAAAGTCGACTTGAAGCGGTCATCTGACCACGACATAAGGAGGTCACCGACGTTGCAGACTGTGGAGCATGAGTAGAGGTTTCAGGTCGACAGAGCGCATCAACATACCGATTGCGTTCTTGTCTGCGTCCGGCTCAACCTTGGTCCACGCATCCCCGTACCCGAACGAAGTTGATACTTCTCGCCCCGGACAGATCTCAAGACCAGACTGCCCTGCTTTCTGGAACAGCAGAGTCAAGAAGTCCCAGTCGGCGTGTGCGCCCGCTCGATGATGTACCTCTCCTGTTGGATTCGGCACCTGTGGAGTCTCAAAGTAATGTAATAATCGGCAAACAGTCTGAGACTCTGGTCGGCTGACATCGTGAGCTTTGACGAAGTAATCTTCCTCGAAGTTCAACCCTCGCGCGAAGCACCTCATGAGCCTCTCGCTGACTGCCTGTACTCTGTGCATGAACTCCAAAGCCTCCGCTCGGAACCCCGGAAGGGTCTGGTCACTCAGCCATCGACCTATCCAACGATCAGCACGGCCATACACATAAGACGAATAAAAACAGCTCACCGTTCATGCCTTCGCCGAATTGCATTTGATAAGACTCTTTGCGGTCGACTGCACCAGTAGATGGCCGGATTTGAGCATTCTTCTCCCATCCGGCGTTGTGTTGAGGGGAGAATGGCACTTGCGATTTCACGGGATCGGGCTGATTGAAGAATCGCGCTGACTGATTGAAGATGCCGTCGACAGCGTCGCGTGTTATGCCGTGGTCCACGATGCAGAAGAAACCGTGGTTCTCTGCAGCATCGACAAGTTCCTGGGTAATCACATCGATGCGCGCATCGAAGTCGCGGAGGGAGATTGTCGGCACAGGGCGATCAACATACTTCGTCGGTGCCATAATGAGATGGTTGATGTTCGAGCTGATTGACGTTGGTGAGTTTGATATATGACCGTAGTGTCTTGAGGGCAAACTGTATCCATTCTTATGTTCGGTCATCTTTGCTTCTACGCATGTAGTGTCGCAATATGCGTTCAGGCGTGCCAAAGCCGACGCGGCCAGGGCGGCCGCTCACATCGGCCGTCATCACCAACACGTGTGTCGTGCTGCTTAGATAGACACCCGCAGCCTGCGAGACGGAAGTCGCGGTCCAGATGAAGTGGGGCCGAGGCCAGATTGTGGAAGGTTCCGCGTTGTCGGCCGCACCCTGTTCATCTTCCTTCCCCACCAAAATTGTCCGCCGATAGCCAACTGATAGCCAACGCGCCTTGCCAACCACCGGGATCGCGATGCTGAGAAAGACGGTCTCATCGCATCGAGATGTCCTCGATCGCGACTCCTAGTCCACGACCGACACAGTCAACCTTACCATGGACGACAGCAGCACCTCGAAAGGGCCGAGACCCCGTCTGACATGTACAGAGTGCTATAGAAGGAAGATCAAATGTGATAAGAATGTGCCTTGCAGCACATGCATTCGAAGGTCAGCTCATCCGTTTCCAAGGTAGTCTAGTACCCGCGAGTCTTCGACAAAGTGTGATCCTGTGCGACTGTAAATTGCTTTTCGCTGGGAACCCAGAGCTTCTTGGTACTGCGCACGCTGCCCGAACCATCTCATGCTAAGTAAAGTAGGGGATATGCAAGCTTCTGTACGAGAGAAGACGCGGCTGTGACATCCTCAGTACCACCACCACCCGCCTACCAAGCTCAAGGTGCAGCGACAGCACCTGACGATCTAGTGCGCGCTCTACTCGACCGCGTAAGTCAGCTTGAAGCCAAGTTACAGGAACAATGTGATATGGCCTCGAGCGAAGCACCCTTGCCTCTGGAAATCTCTGATACACCAGCGAGTCCAGTTCATAATCCAGCGACCACTTCACCTCTTAACAATAACGTGTCACAACCTGCGGACACTGATGATGCAGCTACCGTGTTGGAGTTTCTAGCATGGGGCCGTAAGAAAGACATCGACTATGGGACATCACCAGAGCAGAACAGCGGGCCACGGCGACTGAGTATCAGGGATGAGGATGAAGCGGTTGCATCCAGTATGCTATATGAAACCAGCAAAGATGCACAGCTTGACGTACTTGAAGCGCTTCTTCCGAACAAGACTCATATCGTCCAGCTTGTGGAGTACCACAGTACCACCATCCTATGGTACCATGGGTCTTACTCCTCAGCAATATTCAAGGACGACCTGGATATCTTTCTTGGAGACTACGAAGGCGACGTCCGGCACCAAGGCTTGAATCTGCAATGGCTTAGTTTACTGTTCGCCATCATAACAGGCAGTATCACATGTGCGCCACCATCTGTCTATCAGTCTTGGGGTTTCTCATCAGAAGAGAGGAAGGTCTTGTCACAAAGATGGTACGAAGCGACTGTGACGTGTCTCGAAATCGCTGGCTACATCGAGGCTCATACCATCTACTCTGTTCAAGCCATCGCAACATTGACCATCGCGGCTCATATCCTTGGCAAGTCGAACAGCCAGTCGATACTGCTTGCCTCAGCTGGTCGTATTGCCCAGAGTCTTGGGCTGCACCGACTTGGACCAGAAAGCGCAACCTCTGCCACCTCGAAGGAGCAGCTACGCCAGCGTGAAGCCGGTCGACGAGTCTTCAATCAGCTTTGCACGCAAGATTGGTTCCAGATTCCGTTCTCCGAGTCATATTCGCTCAATCCTCGCTTCTTCACTACCGCAAAGCCGCTGAACTGCAATGACGACGACATGGTACCGCATCCATTGAGCATACCCACCCAAGCGAGCTATTGCAACTATCGCTATGACATTGCAGCGCTTATGCCGCAACTCCTAGATGCGATGACAGGCTGTAACACGCTTTTCACGAAATATGAACAGGTGCTACATTACGACGAGAAGATGCGCAAGCTTGCGACTGCATGTATACCTACATTTCTATCAACGAATGCGCCGGTGGCGACCGATTGGCCTATCTATGTTGGCTGGGCTAGACGCTCGCTGACTATATGTGCTTCACACAAGATCATCATGATACATCGAAAATTCATCGGTCTCTCCTTCACCAATTCCGCGTTTCAATTCACTCGGCGTACCTGTATCGCGGCGTCGAAGACCATATTGAAAGAGGCACTATCAGGCAGTGATGAGCAGGGCCCAATACTATGGATCGAGCAAGCCTTTTCAGTAGCAGCGGGGATCATCCTCAGTCTCGATACCCTTCATCGATCGGCTAGTGACAGGGAGTTCGACGAGCACACCAGACTTGTTGCAGACACAATCGGTTATTTGAGTAGATTCGAACATAGCAAGATTGCCTCGCGCGGCGTGCGATTGCTGTCGGGATTGCAGCGCGAGCTCCAGGGTGGAGGCGTGAACAGCAAGAAGCGTGCACGACCTGCGGACAGTCTTGGAATCCCGTCGCCGTTGGGCAAGCGAACCCGCAGATTTAACGTGGAGACCTTTATCAGCGATGTAGCCCAAGACTTGCAGGTAACAACCCCCACGTCATCATCGACCGAAGATGTTCCTATAGGCGTGGGAGATACTTCATGGAACTCTTTCATGAACTTGCTACCGCCACAAACAGGCTTTGGAGGGCAAAGCCTGTTCGATGACTTGCTGTCATTTCAATTCTGAATTCATATATACTTCAACGACATGTGGTTTCGTGCACCTACATCGCTCCTTTTCCGTATGTCTGCCACTGACTTCTTTGCTTTCTGTATGATCGTCTCCTCATCAATGTGCAACAGCTTGCCGTTACTGACAAGCAACTGACCATCTACAAGAACTGTATCGACATCGGCACCAGAGGAATGGATTAGCACTGTGATTGGATCAATGCCACCGGAAGCCTGCTCGTTCGGGTCCCAGGGAGCACAAGATGCGCTTTTTGGCTCAACAACGACGATGTCCGCTTTCTTCCCAACCTCCAGGCTTCCGATTCCATCTTCTAATCCTAGCGCTCTTGCGCCGTTGATCGTCGCGAACTCCAAGACATCATACGCGCTGAGAACCCCAGCATTTTGTCGGACGCCGCCATGTAGAATGGATGCTAGATGCATCTCCCGAAACATGTCATACGTATTATTACACGGTGCGCCGTCCGTCCCCAGAGCTACATTCACACCGCTGGCCACCATGTCTGGTATCGGTGCCACGCCAGACCCAAGCTTGAGGTTACTTGTAGGGTTATGCGAGACAGTACTTTTACTTTTGCGCAAGATATCGAAATCTCCAGCGGCTGGATCCGGATGTACGCAGTGGGCAAATACCGACTTGGATCCCGTCAGCTGCGTATCTCGGCAGAACTCGAAAGGGCTGCATTGGTAATACTGTCGGTAGATGGGTAGGTCTTTAGGAGCCTCCGCGCAGTGCATAGTGAGACCGATGTCGTGTGCTCGCGCTGCTTCGCCGATCGTAGCATGGACCGCCATTGGTGAGCCTCGAGGTGTGCCCGCTGCAAACCACATGTGTAGACGGTCGTCGGAAGAGCCATGATACTTCTTGTGCGCTGATAGTGCAACTTCCACAGACATTGAGTCCACGTCCCGATCTCTGGCATCTTTCATGTTGAGATCTGAGTTTGTCTCGCCGACTTTGATCAATTTGCCCTAGCAGCTAAGTCAGCTCCATTACATCGACAGTGCTTCGAAGAACTCACTAAGCACGCACGAATGCCAGTTTCTTCTACTGCTCTGACGACGTTCTCAAGGCCGCTCCTATGCGTAAGCATAGCCTCGAGAAAACATGTCGTCCCCGTCTTCAGCATCTCCGCGATCGTCAGCATTGAAGCCACATAGCCATCCTCTTCGGCGTAGTTGGCCTCCAATGGCCAGATTGCATCACATAACCAGTTGTGCAATGGGAGATCTTCGGCTAGTCCACGGAGCAGTGATTGCGCAAGATGGGCGTGTGTGTTAACCAAGCCTGGTATGATGATCTTGTTCTTGCAGTCGACGATGTCAAGATCTCTGTTCTCGCTGTGGTTGACTTGATCGATGAGATCAGAGGTCTTTCCGATTGCTGTGATACGGCCGTTTTCAACGAGGATCGCACCATCGAGTATGATTTCGCGACTCTTATTGACAGTGACGATGGTCGCATTCGTCAAAAGGCGCAGTGGCTTCTGATTTGATCTTGCCATGTTCATTCGAAGTGATGTTAACGTCGCTGGCTAAGATTCACGGGGATGCTAGGTGCGGCGTTGGAGGGCTTTGTGAAGGTGTAGGTTCAAGTTTCTAGGAGATGTCATCCGTCCCTATTTTCATCAACGAACTTAGCAATCCAGGCGAACAATTACTTCAGTCGATTACTCTCAAGATCCTATTTGCATAATCGCGACTTCCCATAGGCGTGCGCTGACAGCCGCCTCCGCCGCTCTCCGCTTTCGCGCCTTCGCTAAGGTGGCATGGGGCGGCCGACGCTAGTGATATCTCCCCTCTTATCTAGCTCACGTACTCTGTCACCCGTCGCACATCTCACGGCATACGCACAAGTATCATCGCAGTGTTATCAGGTACAAACAATAGCCGGATCCCGATGGGCTGGTTATCGCGGGGTTTACAAGCGCAGAAACGCCTATCGTGGGAAAGGCTCCTGCCGATCTAGAACCACGAGTCAACAATGGCTAACAGGTTGATATATAACCATGCAGCTGAAATACATTTGCCGCGGGAACTCAGTCAGCATACTGGATTCCCACTGGGCTGAGTAGGAGTAATCATGGTCACCGACTCCCGGAGCGAGATGGAGCCGAAGTCCAAGTACGCTGAAGAAACGGGTCAATACTCGTCCGCCGAGAGTCAAGAGATAGGTACAGTGACCACGAAGTGGCAGGATACGCTCGCAGAGATCAATTATGCTTTTACGACGAAAGATGGATGGATCGGCGACTACGTATGTCAATACTTAACCTACCCGACTATCTGCCATAGGTAGCTGACAACCCCAGGACTACGTCTACTTGATCACTCCCAACATCTGGCCCTTGAACAGAAAGTACAAAAACTATCAAGCGCCATTCTACGGACTCAACGACCGCGTGCCCATTCTCTTGACACTACTCCTCGGCCTTCAGCATGCACTCACCATGATCGGATCCATTGTGTCACCACCACTCGCAATCGCCTCCGGAGCGTTCAACTTCGAGCCAGCTATGACGACGTACCTAGTCTCGACAGCCTTCATCACCACAGGTATCGCGACAGCCCTGCAAGTTACTCGGCTGCATATTATGAAGACGCCCTTCTTCATCGGCACAGGACTCTTGAGCGTCGTGGGACCGACATTCGACATCCTACCCATCGTCTTCAACTACGCCGCTTTACGATACAAGTCCGGCTCTTGCCCAGTTCTCGAAGACGGAACTCAAGGGCCATGCCCTGATGCGTGGGGTGCATGCCTAGGCACTATGCTGTGCTGTGTCTGGATTCAGATAGCCATGGCTTTCGTACCGCCCAAGATGCTCAACAAGATCTTTCCCAAGCTCATTACCGGGTCACTCCTTACCCTCATCGGAGTCTACCTTGTCGGCAACGGACTGCAGAACTGGGGCGGATCCTCGAATTGCCACGGAGGAGAGGGTTTCTACGCTCTTTGTCCGGATATCACTGCGCCGCGACCGCTCATATGGGGACATCCGAAGTTGATCGGCTTGGGGTTCAGTGTGTTTGCTACTATCATCTTGGTCGAAGCCATCGGTGCGCCGCTCATGCGTTCGGCTTCGGTCATCATCGGTCTAGCTGTAGGATGTGCCATCTCAGGCGCAACAGGCTACTGGTCGACGGAACAGCTCAACCAAGCACCCGGCGGAACCTTTCTTTGGGTGCACACGTTCAAGCTCTCCGTTGATGGCGCGCTAGTATTGCCTATGATAATCATGTTTGCTTGTCAGGCCGTGTCTTGCATTCCCGATATTCTGGCCACTGCAGAACTGTCAGGTGTTGACATTGAAGGAACGGAGTTCAACAGCAGGATCCAAGGCGGCATTCTGTGCGACGGACTTGGAAGCTTCTTCAGTGCACTGGCTACGGGCCCACCGATGGTTAGCCAGGCAGGCAACAACGGCGTTATTGTTCTCACCGGTTGTGCATCTCGCCGTGCAGGATGGGCAGCAAGTGGCTTCCTGATCCTTATGGGGGTCATTGCGAAGTTCGGTGCTGTCTTCGCTTCTATGCCGCCGTCTGTCCTCGGCGGTATGCAAGTCTTCCTTTACAGCACCATTGCTGTGGCTGGTATCCGTGTCCTCGCACTCATCCCATGGACCCGCCGCGATCGCTTCATCCTCGCAGTCTCCCTGGGCATTGGGTTCATGGATATATGTCAGCCCGACTGGTTTTCACAGGTTTTATCGTACGATGGGCCAAATGAGAATCTGGTGGGATTCGAGCAGGGCATCAACCTTGCTGTGGAGACTCCGTTTGTCATTGCTGCTATTGTTGGTATATTCTTGAACGCTGTACTGCCGAAGGACAAAAGCGCGGCGCCGATGGTAAGATACGGTGATGAACAGAAACATCCTAGGATAGGGCAACGTGAGGATTAGACATATATCACAGATATTAAGAGGCTTTTTCCCGAGTCATGGCGTGATGGTCTTGTTTGTGTATTCATCTTTATGTGATAGATCTTGTATGCATACGGCGGTGTCTCGGTACCGCTGCTATCGCACCATGATTTTCATCGCTTATTGAAGCGACGTCTATCTCTGGAGATGATAACTTGCTACCTGCGGAGAGGACTTCCAGATTCCATCCTGCCACCAGCCTCGCTCTACCTTCTGCCTAACCATCCAGGCATCCAATATATGCCTTAACATCCCACTTAACACGCGACCAACATGCCACTCTATTCGGTCCTTTTCCACATTCCTCGTCGGCCTCCCGACCCCACAACCGCCCCATCACAAAGCACATCCAAGTTTCATAGTGGCCTCGCGTGGAAGTGGTATGTGGTTTCGAATAGTCTTCGGCGCGCGGCAGAAATGCGGATACCAACGACGATGCGGTGTGGGTAAGGGCTTAGCCGAATCGAACATCATTTGCAAGAATGGGGGAGGTTGGTCTGTGAAGATCTTCAAGGCTAGGAATTCTCGGCTGCCCTGCCGAGTTACATCGGCGGACGGCAGGTAAAATATCGCAGCAAGGCGAAAGTGGAGATAATGAAGCGGAGAGTGGAAATGCGAGTTTTCCCTCGAAGTGGGTTTTGACCTGCCATGGCCAACGATAGGAGTTTTGGAGATTACGATGGTGATTCATGGCATTGATGATGATATTTTTGAAAACGAGGCTGTGCCAAAATTATCATTACCCAGGTACCTCCACCTCGGAGTAGACCGACCGAGAAAGAATACATAGTAACAATACACGCAGTACTCGCCAAACCGGTCCTTTCCTAGTCCCCAACGACCAATTCTCCCGCTTCTTCTCCCGCTGCCCCTGCCCTCTTGGTTCTCACGACCCTGTTCCCGAACGCTGATCATCAATGCATTGCATGCGTACCTAGGTATCAAACAACGCGCGCTCGCGCAATCGTTCAGATCGGTGAGTGACCTCGTACAATCCACTTTTTAGCATTGTAGCAAAGCATGACTCGCCAAGCAAGTTGACGAGTCGGATGCATTAGTCAGGGAGGGT